TTACGTCTAAAATGCGGTGAGTTTAAGACGAATGGCTGCTGGTGTAGGTACCGCTAAAAACTTAAGACTCGATGATTTTAGACCCACGAAATAATGCAAATTTAAAAAATTTGCAGGCATGCGGACCACAAAATGGCGATTGCTCACTACCTAATGACTCACTTTGAGGAAAAATACGGTTCACCATGGCACTGTGTTGTAAGCGACGGGAATTTGGGATTCTACGTGCGATACGATGCCTCAAATCATATCTATTTTGCCATTGGGAACACCACGTTTTTTTTGTTCAAAAGTCAATCGTAACATTGTTTCGGCTCCTCTCGCTAGCTTTTTTTTGCAAGTAGCTTATGCTTTCTTTAAAATACAGACATTAACGCTAATGCTTGATGTGTAATTTTATAAGCTGGGAAAGTGCGTTGGCGGCATACTGCACCACATTTCATATATATTAATGCATTTCTATTCGCGAGCTGCATGGAAATTACTGATTTATATTTTTTGATATAAATCAGTAATTTATATCTCTATTTATATCTCGATTTATATCTCTATTATCTTCATGGTACGAAAATAGGAATTGTGTGGAAATCTGAACAAGGAATTCCGGAAAACTGATTACGTTTGCGACTTCATCGTGCACCCAGTTTTGAAAATTTTATATGCTTCTGCTCTCTCTCTCCCTCTCCCTTTCGCCATTTATTATCATTTCGTTTAAAGCGTGAAAAATTTTTGGAGTTGCTGCACTAATTCGGAATCGTTTCTGTTTTTGAAGAAAAAAAGTTGGAGAACAAATAAGCAGCAGGATGTAGTAGTAAGCCGACACGACCATGCGCTTTTGGTGCAAGTTTCTGCGAGAATTGAAAGTTGCAAGGTTCAGAAGCTAGGACAGTCTAAATTTTGCCTTGAGGTCACGTGCAGCAAGGGAACTAATTTCATATTTTTTTCAGCGTGCAGCAAGGGAACTAATTTCATATTTTTTTGCGCCGAATTGTTAATTCACCAAAAACTGGCGGTTTTTTTGGTCCTCAAATTATGAATTTTGCTTCAAACTCGGAGCAAAAGTGATAGATCAAAGCGTATCAAAACTTCGAAGCTGATGCCAAAGTATTTGCTAGAAATTAATTGGCAGATCAGTTCTTCAAAATTTTTTGGCTCAGCCTGCACTGCTTTCAGGCTACAGAACTGGCCTGAACTTGAATCAGAGGTCGTAGTTCAAGTTAACAGTAACCACTGGAACCTAATTTCAAATTACCATGTATGCAATGAGTGTTTTTGTGTTTGCATAAATACGCACAAAAGAAGTATGTTCGCAATCATTCTTCAGTCAAATAAAATTTTTTACGCCTGTTTGTCAAAAATCTTCTCTGGACGAAAGCATGAGATTTTGCACTTACTGGATTATTTGCTCACACAGCCCAAAAACATAATAATCTACATGAAATCCGCTGTGTGCTCCTTTCTGATGTGGAAGTTCCGCTCTGATAATCCGAGTGATCTTCGGTTCAGTTTCCCGTAAAAAACTGATATTTGTTTTCACTCGCTGTGGTAAGCAATACGAAAAGTGATTTCTGAAAAAATCTGCTTAAAAGTAATTGACAGCTGCGAAAATTTTGTTTCCGAAAACATCTAGTGAAAGTAGATGTCATTTAAAATTTTGAGGGCTTATCGATAAAATTTGGCACTCGAAGCAGCTGAGCTTCTCTGTCTATATTAGTTTAGGTGCAGTCTCGCTTCAAGAACCCTTGGATTTGTTTTACTAACACGGACACGGGTCTTTTACGCATACGGCAAGTCATTGTTTTAAATTCGGGAGAGGGGAGGAGTGCAGTGCGGATACATGGACGTCAAGCGTTCTCCATTTTTTTTTTGTTCATTGTGCTGGCCCTCTTGCAAAATTTGAAAAGTCCGAAGCGAGATTCCCACGCTCTCGTGCGTGGCCGAGAAGCTGGCACTATCGTAAATTACATTACAAATAATCTCTGTGCTGAATTCGAACCCGTGACTTTTTCATTCGCATACCTGGAGGATGAATTAAAAATCTTTAAGTTGTACTTGGACAAAGAAAATCCTCCTAAAATTTCAGCTTTCCTGCTTTTCCGGCTGCCAAGTTAATGATTTTCTTGTTAAACTCGTCAGATCTAAACCCAGGCTGGAACGCACCAGGCGGGCCGGCGCGATTATGCGTTTTTGCACTTTTCGTACCGTA